CAATCAAACAAGTGTTTGCAGGCTTTATCTGAATGTATTTGACTGCCTCCTGTTTTTATCTGATAGGTAAAAATACAGAAAATAATTATATAGTATAAATGCAAGTGACAGAAATCTCTATTTCCTTCCCTCTGCCCCTCCCTCCTTCACTAAATGTTTTTTTCAATATTTGTTTAGATACAGCAAGTGAGTGTTGTTATGGAGTCTTTTGCAAGTAAATGAAACCTTTCTGAAGTTAGATATAGCCAGTTTCTGCTTTCGCTGAAGAAAAATAAATCCCTTTAACTGGGTTTTGCCAGGCTAATAGTAGGTAACTCATTTGGCCATTTGTATCTTCTACTTAAAAGAAGGAGAAATAAGCCCAAAGCACCAATTTAAGAGCAGTTTCTACTCTCACTAAAAGCCAAAAGATTAACTGAATACCTATATGTTACACCCTAAAATGCCACTTTACAATAAACTTCAGGTCATACTGTCAGAAACTAAGAAATGACATCAACAAGGATGTTCTTGCATCTTCATTTTTTTCCATTGTACATATGAAACCATTCCATAATCTTCAATTCCTTCCTTAGATGTTCTTTTTTCCACCATGCTTCACTACGTTCAGATGCTGTATGCCTAATAATCAGCTATAAAAGCATTATTGTTGTATCCTTTAATACCACAACCATAAGCCATCTAGCTTTAGCTGTAACAATGCTAGATTTCCTCCTCAGTCATCCATGGAGAGCATAAATATTTAAATGTACATTCTGCAGATACTTGGAGCTTTGGAGACTCTTTTTGCTGATTTCACCTTTCACTAGACCAGGTTGCTCAAAGTCTCGTCCAACCTGACCTTGAACACTTCCAGTGATGGGACACCCACAACTTCTCTGGGCAACCTGCTCCCGTGTCTCACCACCCTCATCATAACAAATGTCTTCCTTACCTCCAATCTAAATAGAACCTCTTTCAGTTTAAAAGGCTCTGGTAAAAAGTCTCACTCTGTCTTTCTTACAGGCCCCCTTCAAGTACTGAAAGGCTGCAATAACTTCTCCCTGGAGCCTTCTCTTCAGGTCCAGGTCCATGTCTTTCCTTTGCTGAGGACCTCAGAGCTGGACACAGCACTGCAGGTGGGGTCTCATGAGACCAGAGTAGAGGGGCAGAATCGCCTCCCTCAGACTGGTTAATGTAATCTTCTTTATGAAGCCCAGGATATGGTTGGCCTTCTGCACTGCAAGTGCACATAGCTGGCTCATGCCAAATTTTTCACCCATCAGTATCTCCAACTCCTTCTCTGCAAGGCTGCTCTCAAGCCTTCCTCCTCTAGACTGTGTTGATAACAGGGATTGCCCCAACACAGGTGCAGGACCTAGCACTTGTCCTTGTTGAACCTTGAATCCAAAACCCTGCCTGAAGCACCAGTCCTTGCTACAGCCCACATCTGAACATACCAGTGTATGCTTTCCCTCTCCCAATACGCTATCATCTTTCTTTGGGCACAATTGGCTTTCTCTGGAAAGTGCAGGACCTACCACTTGTCCTTGTTGAACCTCATGAGGTTCATATGGGTCCATTTCTTGAACTTGTCCAAGTTCCTCTGGATGGCATCATGCCCCTCAGGCACGTCAACCGCATCACTCAGCTTGGTGTCATCTGCAAACTTGCTGAGGGTAGACTTGATCCCCCTGTCCATGTTGCTGATGAAGACATTAAACTGGTGCCAATACGGATCCCTGAGGGACACCTCTCATCACTGATCTCCATCTGGACATTGAGCTGTTGACCACTACCAGTGGTCAGCTCCCTCTGCTCCTCTGGTTGTGGGCTGTCTGGGTGATGGAGCTGCCACCACAGGTCAAGAGTTCGAGCAGTTCATTTGCACAGCTGATCCAAGGAGCCGCACCACAGCCCTGAAACAGTGAAATAAAGGGGCCTGGTGTTGATCATCTGCCTGGAGTTATGGTCCCATGGTTTCTTCCATTGCGAGACACAGGCTATGGGTCACTGTCTCCTAACTAACAGTATTGTTTGCGTGACTCCAAAGCTTTTAACCAGGATGGTGAAAGCTGCTATCTGCCCTCAAAGACATCATTGTCCAATTGACTGTGGAATAATAACTGCCTGCATGTTGATATGTATAAAAGAGTTTACACCATCCTGATGGACTTCCTTTGCAGTAGGGGTTTCAAAACGGGCTCAGAGGTTCCCCTCTGAACAAACATGCCAGTGCCAAACCGGTAAGTGTCACCGAGGATGCCTTTCTTCAACCTAGAACTGTGGGTTCATACGAGCACAGGCTGCTGAGCAAGTCGTTCTCATGGGGCCAACAGTAACTTCTGGTGTAAGTAAGGGGGAAAAAAAAGGGGGAAGTAAGAGCTGTGATGTGATGTGGGTGGCACAGGGTTTTGAAGAGAGGAGGAATACATTTCTGCTGCTAATGATTGTTCACAGGGATTTGCAGATTTCAGCGTTTAAGCAATGTTTTCTGAATGAAATTTGGATCTAGAGTCTCTAAGCCATGTCAAAGGTAATTCTTCCCTTAAACACCGCAGACTGAAGGACAGTCACTTGGTGTTCTGTCAGTCACGAGTCACGATCCGTCAATGCATCAAGCCCAGCCGTGAGCTGAGAGCTGAGTCGGTGTGAGGAATCGGCTCTTGGAAAGTTTTCCAAAGAACCTGTTATCTAACCAGCAACGCAACTCGGTGTTGTTACGAAATAAGGGAAGTGATTAACGTGTAATCATCACCCTGTTTCTGGGTAGACAAGATCTGACCTTGCGCCCAAGTTTTATATTCTGTGGTTACCCAAACGTGCCTGATCTTGTCCTGTGGATGTTTCTAACCAAGCCGAGAAAAGTTCAGTCTCTTTATGTATCACCTCTTAGTTAAACCCACGGTGTTCCAGCTGCCTTCTCTAGCCATCTCCTTTTGGTCTACCACAGGTTAGAAGCTTTCCTGATGCAGCATTCTGTTCAAATGTCCAAATTGCCTGCTAGTCTGCAGTGGACTGCACCCGAATAGCAACCAGACCTCCCACCCACCCCCAACCAAAGTAAAGCAAATCCCCTCTCTGGTAACCAGGAGAACCGGAGACGGACAGGGACGTGAGCTGGTGAGAATCACAGAGTAACAGCAACTCTGGGAGGCCACGTAATCTTTTCTCTGCCCCAGAGAAACCGAGGGAAAACAGAGTTAACAATTTCCTGATTCAGAGACGTCCTGGCTCTAAATAACTCTTCAGTTACATATACCTAGAAAGTAAGAGAATACCTTCTTTCTTCTGCAAGAAATGACGTTTTTCACAGAGGCAATCTCATTCAGTGTATTTCCCAGGAAAGATAATCAGAGACACCCTAAGTAGTCTCTCTCCTACTAACAGGGCCTATGTGACATTGTTATGCTGAAAGGGATCCCTCAGACATGACCATGGAAATTCTATAGGACTTCCAAAGTAATTTCTTCCACAAGGGGGTTTGGGCAGAAGACAACATTTGCCACTTGATTTGCCACTCCAAAAGGTTTTAGTATCGGAGAGTTGCATTAACATGGGGAACATAAACTTGATGTGCTTTGGTGTTTTGCAGGTGCTCTGTGGCTTGCAAAACACTGACCTACAGGTGCTTCAGCAACCCTTCTCCTGTAGCTTGCTGCTTCTTGCACCTTGTGTCTTCATCCTCCATTTGCCTCTCTGCCCTAGGAAAGATCTAGTTTGTGGCCTGTGATGCCCATGGATTTGGTAAAGGACAAAGAAGGGCTTGCTGGGACCCCGCGCATGCTTGTCGTGGTGATAACCCCTGGCCCTGCTTGGTGCGTTGCAGGGACCTGAGCTACCTGAGCTGGCATTTAAGTCTGGCCTGTGACAGAAACATACCACGTGGTGATTCCCGAGACACTTACAACAGTAAAACACCATTGCAATGTGAAATTAAAATAGGGGTAACCTTAGAAGAAGGGGATTTTCCATTCTTATGGAAACACTGTGATTTCAAAAGGATACCTTATCCAGTATCAAGATAAAAAAGATTTTAAACAAAGAGAGAAACAAACCTATCGCAATCCAGCAGTCAATCAATCACTTCAAATTTATGAAAACTTTCTATTTGATTATATAACTGAGGGCAGTAGAAGATTGTATCATTGGTATGATCAATGCCTTGAGATACCATCAGTCTTGTGACTGTTGAGTAAAGTCTCCAGGTGAGAGTTTGGCCAGAGTCAGAGCAATACGTGGCATGCTCACCAAGACTTTAAGTCTGGTTGAGTCAAGCCTGAACCCAGTGTTACGGACAAGTGAGAAGGGAGGGAGATAAAACCTTTCAGGAGAGATCCATGAAAAAAGTTTGCAAGAGTGCGTGAACCATTCTCTGAAGAGACAGAATAGCGCTGTCTCATCATGAAAGGCCAATATTTATCTATATTAAACTACAATCAATACATAAAAGAAATCCATTGATGCTTTCAATAGCTTCTTTAATGGCAACAATTCAAAATGGAATACAAAAGATGGCCAAGGCCATGGCAAAGCAAGAGCATTGGAAAACAAATTACAAAGTAAGTGATGCTGTTATATACTCGTAATTATTTTATACATTTAGCCACAGAAGCGCCATGCCATGCTTTTACGTTACATAGAACGGGACATCGGACATCGCAATGGCAGCTGAGGGTGCAATGGGTTACACATCCCTGGCGTGTCTCTTTCATTCGGCCAAATCAAATTCTATGATTCTATGAAGTACGATAGTTCTTGCAATTGTGGGGATTATGGGGGCAGGGTGAGAGCAGTGCAAGGCAGGATGGAGAAATACAGATCAGCCGTGCAGCATGAAAGAGAGCTCTCCCACTCCGTGTTCTGTGACACGGGAAAAAAGCATCACAAGCTTAGACAGGCGCCATGCCATGCTTTTACGTTACATAGAACTGCACAAGCAACGCAAGCTTAGACATAGATCTGGGTCTCAGATCTCTTACTGGGGCTGCATCATCCCTCAGCATTGCAGGGTGTGTGGCCTAAGGGCAACATCTCCTGCCAGGGAGGAGGGGGCGCAGAAATGAAAGCTTGTCATTGAATTTGATTATATTGTAATCTGAAAGCTCTTCGTGTTCTCGCGCAATGTAACGAAACCCACTTCCATCGCTGTTTTCGCACAACAGCCAGGCACCTTTCTGGACTTTGTGAGAAGATATGGTGTCATTGTCGTATCCTCTACCCAGATCAGTTGCTTTTCTTATCACCCTGCTCTTCCCATGATATTGGGCATGTTCATATAGAGTGATCTGGGGATTCTGCAGATTTTCAGTGATCAGCAGCAGAGAAGTGATCTTATCATTCATCTCTTCACCCACAAAGCTATGCTCTCCCTCCTCAAATACCAGTAACCGGCCCGTGTAGTTGAGGTGCTCATAAGCCACCCAAGGCTGGCCAATGACTTTCACTGAGGAGACAACATCGTTCCAACCTACATCTTTTAGATTGCCGATGTTACCGGTGAATTCTCTGGAGCGACCCTGGAAGTTGGCATGCTCATAAATGATGATTTTTCCCATCTCGGTAGGACTTCTGTAGTTTGAAGCTCTTGCTGTAGGAGCTGGATGACAGCCTGCAGAAAAGGAAAATGAGCAAAGCTTGTAAGAAGCCTTTTTGCATCAGATGCAAAATGCTGGAAAGGAGGGAAAAAAGGCAAGAAGGACAAGTGAAATATTTCTAGTAGAGGATAAATACAGCAGAAGCTGCAAAAAAAGTGAGGGCATGGTGTAGACCTGTGAATTTGGGAGAAAAAAGTAAAATGAGGTACACACATCAAAACTGTCCAGTTCTATTTAGTTGTGTATGTTGGTTTATGTATATGTATGAGGGACATCTGAGCATTTAGTTTAACATCTTATTGGCATTCCCTCAATAAAATAAAAACCCAGTGAAATAAATTGGATAAGTGGTGGTAACATTTCCAGTTGATAATTGACACTGCATTTGAGAGTCATTTTAGAAACTGGCATTTGTTGTTTGAACTGGATTTCATTATCCATATAATATTACAAGTAAAGAAGTAGTGAGACATTCAATTAATTTCTAAATGACTGCATTTTGTACTGTAAACAGGAAAAAAAAAAACTGTTCTGTTAAGGCCAGACCTGAACTTTGAGACTCACCGAAGTACCTTATTTCTCTTTTATATGCAATGCTACTGAAATCAAGAGATCCCTCTTCTTGACATGAACTGGAAAGCAATCAAGTTCAAAAGATTAGCTCTTTGAGGCAGATTATAGTTCACGTTGTGACTGACTTTTGTGGCACGGTAACAAATACTCATATCTGATTCTACAAAAAGTCACCAGGAATCAGATAAAGAATCAGAGTATTTATTAGTAACAGCTGCAGGAACAGAAACAAGCAGCCAATTAAGATAACCGCTCCCTTTGTAAATCACATAACAGTCATCAAAGCAGTTTTTTATTTCAGGGAAATACATCTGAGGGAAATAAACAGCTACTCTAGTTGACTCTGGGAAGGAATGGGAGAAGATCAGATCTGCCCAAGTAAGATTAAAAGTCAGACTAAAATTGCAAAAAGTCACCTTATGTGTTTGAAAACATGTAAGCATTTTTTTCACAGTTAACTGTTTTTATGGAGGCTGTGACTACCTGAACTTTCACTTATTGCTTAATTGAGAGCTAGTATAATCACCTTCTGCCTGTAGAAAAAGTGATAATAACAATGAGCCAGTTAATTAGTTTGTACAGAAGTCTTGCAAAACACCCCATTCAACAGAACTGAGGAGTGGCAAATATTACCCTGAGAGATGAAAAATCATTACCTATTTTATTTTGGTTTTGAACTTCCTACAACTGGCCATCTCATTGCTCTGGTTCAACAGTCTGTTGAAGAGCAAGCTTCTTGGTAAGGCTTAGAGCTTTCATCCTTGTTTGTCTTTATTCTCTGGAAGCCAGCTGAATCACAGTAATTAAAACAGACCTAAGTGTTTTAGGACACTTGTGCTGTAGGAGTTTTTATCTTCCTGCAGTTTACATGCTTACTTACCTGGGAAGCATCTCTAATACACGACATTGGTTTTCCAAAGGGTTTCTATGTGAGATATGCAGGTGACAGAGGTGGCATTTAAGTAGCTTTTTTTAAAGCTCACTTTCCCCCTTCCCACCTACGTAGCCATTTGCGCAGCCACAGTGACACGGAGCTGGTAAAGTGGGGCAAGGAGGCTCTGGCAGAGCTGCCGTGGCAATATTCTTGCTTATTTTCATATTGCAGGTTTATTCTGTAATATATTTTCAGACACGTTAACTGGCTCGCATGCTGGCAAGCTGTACTACAGTGGGAGGAAACAATGGGATCTTTATTAGTTCAAGAGCAATCCAGAGCTGCAAGTACCCACAGCAGTAAAAAGAAGAGAATTTCAAGGCTTATTTTGCCTTAGACATCTACAGATTTTGAAATCAAGCAACACTCTGATAAACGATAACAACTGTGTGAAACAGTGAACAAGCTGCACTGCCAGTGAA